ATATACACACACACACACATATATATATATACACACACATATATATATATACATATATACACACATATACATATATACACACATATACATATACACACACACACACATTTGCTCACATACCAGTTTATCAGATTCACATAGCTACACCTAGTACAGCCGAATACAACAGCCCAGTAATTAATTCTACTTTCACTATGGTTTATGTTCATTCTCTTGAATCTAGAGATCTTGATGCAACTCTGAGGTCATTTTAGAGGATGTAATTTGTGTAGTTAGGTGAACTGTATTTTGAGAGGTGTTTCTGATATGGACGCTCGAATGACAAAAGCTGGGTGGACAAAATTTTAGTATGCATGCTTCAGCAGTAAATGTAGATCACCCTCTCTTCTCTGTGTGAGCTGCTGGACTCGGGAACAGACTGAGGGAACCATCGGTGTGTCTGGCTTTTTTCCTTGCTCAGCTGGGTGCACAGAGTTGGACTGTGTAGGGCTGTGGTTCTCCTGACCAGGTGCCTCCAGACGCCGCCGCTTCTGGCCATCATTCACCTCTGACACACAAGGTAGCAAAATTATACAAGACAAAACACAAGTCTAACATCATAACAGCAGAAACTGCTGTAAATAAGTGAATATTCTGAAAACATGTTCTGGATAACACATGCACATATTTCTCATATTCACACACTAACCTGAGGCTGAAGGGATATTGTCTTCAGAATCTGACAGAGGTGCTCTGGGTCTCTTCAAGTTGGCATTGCCACTTTCCTCGCCAGCCTCCATGCTCACCTGCAAACACAGTGGCATTAACGTTACAGACTGGCATGTCAATAAAATTATTGAAAAATCAGCTATCGTGGTTAGAAAGAAACAGCAGCAGTCAAAACAACAGTAAAGCCATCGCAGTTTCTATCGCGTAAAACACCAAAGAAGAAGACGGCGGTTTCTGTAGCCACATTAATAAATAAAAGCCCCAACTGTAATGGAAAAAACTTCCTCGTAGACACTTTTCCAGTAGCAGAGAAAAGACTATTATTATTGGATGAAGACGTTTCAGCATTATCCCGGATAAAATGGTCTGCGACAACGGCCATCCCATTCAGTTTCACATCAGGTAACTTTAAAATGATTCAGTTAGCTTAGCTAGTTGTTCTAGCAAGTGTACAAGATCCAGAGCGTTATCGCTACCAGCACATCAAAACCCCCACTTTAGTTAAACTGAATTAACGATAACTTACTTAAGCTATCAATCTACAAGCTGTTAGGTATTTTTAGTCAGATAGGTATTGGATAGATACTTTATGTATTAGAAATGTTTAGTGGAGATAGGATGTCTAGTTAGACTGTTAAATGCTTAGGCATGCTTATGAGTTTCTACAGGGTACATCTGGTCAAGGATAACTAGAGAGAAGAGTTGATGACTGTCAGCAGACAGGGTGTTTAATATTATTATTATGACGTGTATAACTGTAGCCTTAGCCATAATATGTTCTTATGTTTATGTCACGACATGTTACTAGAGGTCGTGTGAGAATGTTTTTAGCTACACACCACTTAATCAACAGACACACACACATTGATTTGCTTCATGTTTTGACTACTGCTATGACCAGCTGCAAAGCTGGTAACAGAGACGCCTCGGTTGACGTTTCTGTGTAGTATGGGGCTAGCCCAACCGAGGGGATATAATGTATAGGCCCGGTGGGTTCAGGGTCTTTCATCTTACATCTGCCTGCATGCAGTTTGGAGGTGCAAGATACCTGAGCGTGTAATGTTTATTTTACCTGTTATCCTTTGAATAAATCAGCACTGTTTTGAAGTTACTTGGACTGTCTCGTCTCTCAGAGTTAGCAATGGTAACAAGAGCTGAAGACAACAAAGCACTGGCAACCTGCCATTCGACAACATGAGCTAGCTTATGCTAGCAGCACCATCCCGAGACCACTCTGACCACCTCATTTGAAGCTAACATCTCATGTGAGGTTCGCTAAAGTTGACCAAAACACATTAAACACTAGCCTAGCTACTGATATGCTAATGTTAGCTGTTAACAGTTTAAATTAGATGTAAAGTAAATAGCCAATTGTCTTACCTGAAAAGCAGTTTGTTTGACAGTGTAGCAAAAAAACGGGTTAACGCTAAACGACAGAAAACAAGAAGCACCTTTGTTGCTTTAAGCGTTCAGTCTCCTCCTTCACCTTTGAATTTCAGCGGGTCTCCTGACGTTAGTGGGACATACGATTAGAGTCCATTAAATATCCTCGAAGAGCGCTGATCTGGAACCAGATTAAACACAACGGCCCTGCTTTTTCAGCAGACTGCAGACTTCTGTAGTCTGATTCCACGTCTGAGCCTGCTGGCAGCCGGAAGTCAGGGCTTTTTTTTACCGTACTAAACCCAGTAAACACGCAAGGCAAGATTCCACTTCATTATTCATGTTTTTGTTTCATATATTTAACCAAATCTATATTTTGGATTGTGACACATAGTTTAACATCGGTAATAACTAATAATGAGATGTTATACGTTTAATGAAGTGTATTTAACACATTAATTCATTGTTTAATACACTATTTTTGTTATGTGTCAAAATGAGAAACCACAGTTAGTAATTAGATTTGTAAGGTTTGATTCTTATAGGCTCTAGTTACTTTATAAGCTTTAGTTACTTCTCATACCTTTACTTCCCTTTAGTTACTTTTCATAACTAATCTAGCCACAGGGGTTGCAAGCCAGTGACTTCTGTGCCGGTCCCAAGCCCGGATAAATAGAGAGGGTTGCGTCAGGAAGGGCATCCGGCGTTAAAAACATGCCATATTTAAACATGCAAATCTAGATATACTGTGTGTGCAGGAGACCAGGTGGAAGGGTAGCAAAGCGCATAGCATTGGAGGGGCATACAAACTGTTTTATTTTGGTGTGGACAGGAAGAGAAATGGGGTAGGAGTGATCCTGAAGGAGGAGCTCATGAGGAATGTTTTAGAGGTGAAAAGAGTGTCAGACAGGGTGATCAGTTTGAAGTTGGAAAGTGAAGGGGTAATGTTGAATGTAGTCAGTAGTTATGCTCCACAAGTAGGGTGTGAGTTAGAAGACAAGGAGAGATTCTGGAGTGAGTTAGATGAGGTGATGGAGAGTATTCCCAGAGGGGAGAAAGTGGTGATTGGAGCAGATTTCAACAGGCACGTTGGTGAGGAGAACAAAAGTAATGAGGAGGTGATGGGCAGGTTTGGTGTTAAGGAAAGGAACCTAAAAGGACAGATGGTGATGGACTTTGCTAAGAGGACGGAAATGGTCATAGTTTCCCTCTTCTATTTCCAGAAGAGGGAGGAACATA